CTTTCAAATTTACGTAACGCTTCGCTACGTAAGCGCGAATCAGCGCGAATCAGCACGAAAATTATCCCAAAACGGTTCTTGAACAGAGAAATATAAAAACCTGGATTAAAGTTTAATGCTGGGTTAGCGCTAATTGGTCGCAAACAGCTGGGCCTTGGTTATCAGCTGTAACCGGATAAGGCTTGGTTACCATGTGTAGCAAATTTCGAAAAACTGACGTGTCAAGCGTTACAGCTCCGTCGCTTCTTTTTGCTCAGACGAACGAGTTAGCCCTTGAAACGTCAGCTTTTCAGAATTGATAATCCAGAGAAAGAAGATCCTGTACCTTCATCACTCTCAGCCACAGCTTTGAACACGTAGTATTCGTGGCCGTTGTCTTCTTCAATCTCAGCTGACTCATGATCCTCCACCATCATCACACTCCTTCTCTTCCCCATTTCTTCATACTCCTCAGGGCGGCTCCCAGATAAACTCTCATAAGATGCTGGTGGACGCAAATTCTGCGGTTTCAGACACTCATTTCCGCGCAAGCAACAGCCACTCTTTCTTTCCGCGACAATCTCATACGTACAGGTGTCACAATCACTTCTGCATGACAGAGAGGGCGACGATTTCCTGACTATGGGTTTTGGAGTGAATGCGGTGTTGCTCAGATCGCCAATCGTTATTTCCATGCAAGTGTTCGGAATATTGTCGACAGCGTCATTGCCTCCCAAAATCCGGAAAATATTGCGCATTTTAACCGGATCGATCTCCACACGAGCATAATCGTACTCAAAATCCTCCGTTTGTGGATCCACATCCTCAACTCTAGCACATCTGTCAAGTTGGTCTGAGGGGTACTACGGAAAGAAAGCAGAAGACGATTGCAAATTTATCTAAACATGGAAACAGCGAAGGAATGAGCTTTGCAATTCATTATGACGTCGATCATTTCTTCTGTGCTGAAATAGGCACCCTAACCCTAACCCATTGTTCCCGCTGTCCTCGGCAAGGAGGTTTTAGCCCTAACCAGCTTCTTATGAGAAAATTCAGTTTCCATCCCAGGGGAACTGACCGGCCTGATTCTTGTGGTACCGCCAGGGGTTGGTGAGGATGTTTGTGTTAGAAGTCGCTGATCAGGGAGGCGTAGTTCTGAAGTCTCGGCAGATCGAGTGAGTGTTCTTTCATTTAAGGGAGTTCCTGAGGGAACAGATATGATCTAGGTCAATAATGATAACAATGATAATAATAATAATAATGTGAAGGTGTAGTCTGATCGACAGGGTGAGTGTAGTCCTGGGAAGGACTGTTGTCGGTGGTAGTGACTGACGTTTCGACAACCTGTGCGGAAGTCATCATCAGAGTCAAGTGAATGATTGTTGTCAGTAGAATGTTCTTATTCCAGTTCGTGTAAAATGATCGGTTGGTTTTGCCGTGATGTTATTGGCTGTAAGACTCAAGTGACGTAAGTCGGTCGTGATTGGTCTGTTTCGATCTGTCGGTAAAGTTAGGTCGTTCTTTTTCGGTCGTTTGTGATGTTTATGTCGTGAATGAGTCGTTTGTATGGAGCGGGTAGTTGTTGACATCTGTTTAGGGGAGTCTGTTCTAAGTTAGTAAACCAGCNTGACTGGGACTCTGCGCAATGCCTAACCTACAGCACTGACTATTTTCAACGACTGACTCTGGAAAGCTGGTTTACTAACTTAGAACAGACTCCCCTAAACGGATGTCAACAACTACCCGCTCCATACAAACGACTCATTCATGACATAAACATCACAAACGAACGAAAAAGAACGACCTAACTTTACCGACAGATCGAAACAGACCAATCACAACCGACTTACGTCACTTGAGTCTTACAGCCAATAACATCGCGGCAAAACCAACCGATCATTTTACACGAACTGGAATAAGAACATTCTACTGACAACAATCACTCACTTGACTCTGAAGATGACTTCCGCACAGGTTGTCGAAACGCCAGTCACTACCACCAACAACAGTCCTTTTCAGGACTACACTCACCCTGACAATCAGACTACACCTTCATATGTTACCACCGGGTTCAAGCCATTTACTGCAATAATAATAAAAATAATAATAATAGTAATTATAATAATAACAATGATGATGATAATGATATTATTTCCCCTTTCCCCACACCCCTTCAACTCTTTTTCCCCACACCGGCCGCTCCCTTCAAACCCGTTTCTAGTTGGCCCCTCTAACAGGAGCCTTTTCGCAGGCAAGACCAATACAATAGTCTTTTGCGCATCCGATACTAGGTTTCGTAACGAAACGCGTTCTGGGGAAAACAAAGATAAACTGATATAGAAATGCCAGCAAAAAATACAAAAACAAAAACACGGCTATTCCTGTTACTAACTTGTTGCTGTTATTGGAGTCCTCAAGCCATTTACTAGACATGGATAATGCACATACTCATAGTCATGCAAAGGAGAACAAAATGCCGACTCAGAAGGCTGTTCTGGAGGATGACGACGGGATTCTGAAAGATGATATAATGACTGTCCAGTTAACTTACTGTTTAGGAGTCTTGTCTACTGTAATTCACAGATCAAACCTATGTTGCTGTGCTTCTGTTCAGTACTAGTAATAGGTGGCCTCATATGTGATAGTAACAATGAAGTGGCACACAAGTTACAGTAGAGTGTGCCACTGATGTTAACCCCTTTAACTCCCGTGAGGGACCAAGAAAGAATTTCTCCTTACAATAATATTACAATATCGACACAACAAGTGATGAGAATAGAGCACAATATCAATTGGGAAATTATCAGCTGATCAACTCAAACGTTTTTTTATAATAACTAAAGTAAAGCGCGCGCTCTGACTGGTCATTCAGCGTCCACCATTTGCCCATGGATGTACGCTGCTGACGTGAGCAAATCATCCAAAGACTAGTTTTCCGCGCGCGCTTGTTTTTTCTGGTCACGTAAGATTTGTTAAATAAAAGAAAACTCTTTTGGTACAATGTATCAATGTTATGTTATAAAACAAATGGCAAAAGCCACAGCGAACACTATTGAGTTATGGATGCACTTGAGAGGTTTGCTAAGCACTCAAGGAGCTAGAATCGCTCGCGGCTATCACCTCGCGTGACTCTTACGCTTCTTTCGTTCTTTGTAACCACCCGCGTACACCAGAACTCAATAGTGTACGCTGTGGTGTCTACCATTTGTTAATTTGTATTCATAAAATAGCCATTGTAGTAAGGCGAACAGAAGCCTCTTTACACACCTGTTGTTTCCTTCTTGCAATTCCTTCGACACCTTAGCACCAATACAACAATGGCAATGGGAACAACACCAGACAGACCCAAGGACACAGCTATCCAGATCTTCTTGTTATTGGCTTTTGAGTTTTCACCAGTCGGCAATGGACTGTTGGTTTCTGTATTTTCTTCATTTGCTATCTGTGTAAAGAATGAGTCCAATAAAGAAAAGTTACCATAATCTACAATATAATAGTCAGTAGGGACCTTAAGTAACCACGACGGCGACGCCAAGGAAGACTTCGATTAAATAATGAATTTCTACTCTTAGTTAGAATTTCAAAAATGGCTGCGGGAGCTTACTGTCTCATACAGCGCCACAGCTCAACTTCAGCACGACATATAAAGTAGCCGTTGAGTTCCAAATGGAAATTAAAATAATTTGCCGTCGCGGTTTCGGTTCGCAGACGACGGAAACCATTACGGTTTAT